TCACTAAAGCCGATCCATCCGGGATATTACGCCGTCTTGCAGACAGCCACACAGTGCGTCGTTAAGACGTGACCACTGTCGTTTCGCTAACTCGCGGTTAACGAAACCCTGTCGAGAACGAGGTTAGGCTTAACCAGTCGTAATCGTTACACTAACGTGAGTGTATGTATGACGGCCTCCACAACAGACTGCAAGCACTTAGGCTATTTAACTTGGTCTCCGATATGAGGCCTTGACGCAGACCACTCAGAACACTCGATTCTGAGCATTCTGTTTTATATTGTTGCAGAGGCGGCAAGCAAGGAGTATGCTGAAGAAACATTAGTTTTCTGTTGTCATGGCCATCGCAGACATGAGTAGCTCAGCTTGGATGGAGTATCGAGAAAGGAGATTGCTTGAGCAGAATGGACGCAGCGCTGAAAATCGGGTGAGACATCATGGATTTCGTCCATCTTACTGGTTCAATACCCTATGGTTTTGGATACAGAGTTCACAATCAACCCATCTGCTTTAATCTTACCAGAATTGATGCACGTTTCTGTTAGGTTTTCAAATAAATACAATATTTAAAGGAAGTCCAAGTGCCTCATCAAGTGCACCAGACATACTCTATTCTTAGACATCTCGCTTCTTACACACCTTTTCAAGTTCCTGTTACATCTCTGGACACAACCACAATCTTCAGATCCACTCCCTATGCACTCCAGTTCAGATTTATCAAACGCATTCATAAACTTAATCTCGACACCCATGACAAATCAGTGACCAGCCCCTGTTATGATCACTCAACCAGATTGAATGTCCCTATGATTTGGTCCATCAAGGCAAATCCAGTCATACCCTCCGCTGCACCCTCTATCTGCTCATTCGTGTACGCCTTGACAGAGGTATTACGCCCGTTCACTTCAATCATCTTGGTTCCCGGTTCCTTCCTTGCGGTCTCTCTGTACAGTGCAGCCAAGGCAATGCCGGGCTGAACAAGACGCTTGCTATTTGCAATAACATTCTTCTCGAGCTGGAGGTATTCTGACAGCGTATACTCCTTCAAGCCACTGCCCTCGATACCCAGAAATGGACCGTTCTGTAGAGCCCCACGGACATCTGCTTGATAAGCTTGTAGATCGGTGATTGTAAAGGCTTGCAACGTCTCCAACTTCTGCCGCCAGGTGTCCGCCACCTTCATACGTTTGACAGGAGCCTCTAAGGCCATTCTCTCCTGCTCCACTTGTAGTTTCTTCTCCTCCAGGTCCAGCTTTCGAATCTCAAGTTGATAGACCATCTGGCAGTTGGCTCTGCCCGAACTTCCTGCTCTACAGTCCTCTGTCCAAGCAGGAAATGTTCCTGAGCCGTTCCAGCGATGGCAGCATGCCTCTGCTCGAGGTGACGGGCCACAGAAAAAATAGCTTCCGAGATACAAGAAGGGTATAAGTTTAGGGAAGTTATTTTTTCTTCGACTTAAAACGCCAGTCAAAGCGTCGCATGGGCCATGCCCTGCCACGTGTCTCTCTCCCAACATGAGCACCCAGAGCCACAAGCCACAGAAAAAATAGCTTCCGAGATACAAGAAGGGTATAAGTTTAGGAAAGTTATTTTTTATTCGACTCAAAACACCATTCAAAGCGTTGCACGGGGCATGCCCTGCCACGTGTCTCCTGTCGCCAGAGACGCGCGCTCCTCGTTTGCCACGTGGCACCCTTTCATTGGTTGCTGTGTTCTGCAGGGCCGGACGTTTCAGATCACTCCCGGCGCAGGTGCCGTCGAGCGGAGGAGAGGGGTCAAGCGCAAGAGCACAAATGATGACTGCGCAGCAGGCGGGAGCTCTGGCAGCGACGCGAACTCCGACAAAAGAGGCGAGAACGTCCAGCTCTCAGACAACGGGTCGGTCCGGACCGAGGAGGTCGAGTCGGCCGGCTCGCTCCGGGAGTTTGTCGACGACGGGAGCGTGCGGGGCGGAGAAGGGGCCATCGCCCATGCCGCAATCGAACAAGAGCGCGTGGCAGCTTCGGCGGACGCCCGCGTGCCTCAGGTGAGCCCATGGAATCGCCCAGGGACGCCCGACATCAAACCTCCGAGCTCGCATCCGCCCCTCGATGGCCCCACCCATGCCGCCCCGAATGACTGAGAGGACTGAGACCTCCAAGAGAGTCTTGTGCAAAAGAGTCCCAAAAATGGCTTTCCGCATGCCCGCCCATGCCGCCTGGGATTTGGGCCGCCTCCGAAATTGACACGGGAAATTTTCGCTTCCGAGTATTATAAGAAGTACATATATTAGAGAAGTTTTTTTTTTTTTCCCGCTAGTAGATCCGCGTATGAGAAATTTTTGGCGGATGAGCAGTCGTTGATCGCGTGACACGTGTCCCCTCCTTCAACACCGCCCGGGATCCGGGCCGCCTCCGAAATTGACACGGGAAATTTTCTCTTCCGAGTAATATAAAAAGTATATATATTAGAGATTTTTTTTCCCGCTAGTCGATTCGCGTATGGAAAAGTTGGTTGATGAGCAGCCAATAATCTCGTGACATGTGTCCCCAGACCGCCTGGGATCTCCGAGTGTGCTCTCTTCCTGCCACGTGTGTCACGCTCATCGGTTGCCCTCCCTTCAGGGTCGGGCCTCCGACGGCAGTCTATCTCCGGACGAGCACGGTGACAGCGTTCAGCCCGCCGACAACGAGGAGGAGCGGTCCAGCGAGAGCCAGACCACCGGATCTCTGGCCGACTTCAGACACGATGCCGGCACCCCCCGGGAAGATGCGACTTTCTACGCGGCCTTTGAGAACGAGCGTGCGGCAGCACTCGACTCCTGCGATCCGTTGCCTCAAGTGAGACCGCCCTCCCTCTCCTCTCTGCGTCATCACGAGCGGCCCGGAAAAGATCTTCGGGGTCTGCTGACGTGGCACAGCCACGGCTCCCTCCTCAAGCACCCGACCGGTCACTCGATGAGGCCAGCTCGATCTCGCGTCCACTTCTGCATCAGACTGAGCAACCTCTCGTAACTCGCAGCACCATCCGCTGGACGAGGACTTTCCTGGGCCAGCTCTGGTTCTCCAAGAAGGAGGCGGCCGTTGGGCACCAGCGGGCGAACCGACACGCGCTGATCGCCTCCTGCGACCTGAGTGCATCTGGGGGTTACAAGAAGTTCTCGAGCTTCGTCAACGCCGGTGCCTTCGTGAGCTATCTGAAAAAGCTGCGGGCCGAAGGAGTGGACCTGAACCTTTACGAGTGCGCCGACGCGGAAACCGCCTCGAAATTCTACGTGGACGTCGACTACGCGACAGCAGAGCGGAGCGACGAGGACTTCCGGGAACGATTCGAGCACTGCGAGATCGTGCTGCGTGGCTTCCTCGAGCGGGTCCTCCTGGTCCCTCCCAAAGCAATTACCTTCCAAGTAGCCACCGCCCACGGGAAGCGCAAGGACGGGGGTTACAAGTACAGCGCCCACGTCTGTCGGCAGGGATTCTATCTGAAGGACTCGTCCGTCCGGAGGGAACTGAAACGAGCCGTGATCTTCTTCCTCGAAAAGCCTCCCCAGCAGCTGCGGCGGAACTGCGAGTTTCTGTTCTTTCGAGAGTTCAAGGAAGGGGTCTCCATCGAGAAGTGCCTCATCGACACTGCCGTGTACAGCTCGTTCCAGAACTGGCGCACCCTCTATTCGGAGAAGAAGGGGTCAGGCCGCCCTCTCGAGCCAGCGGTGGGGAGCTCTCCCGACATCGCAGACCATCTGATCGGCTTCCACGACCCGGCAGTCAGAGCGGCGGCTCTGGAACTCGACGGCGACTTGCTGGCGACTTACAACCAGCGGGCGGAACCTCTGCCGTGCGTCTCCCGGGGGCCCGCGAGGAACCCAGTACGGGGGCTCAGGGAGACTTTTGTGGAGCGGGGTGGCGCGGTATACCCTCTCACCGGCGTGGAGAAAGACCGACTGCTGCGGCGATACCAGAAGGACCATCCGGGCGCGTGGATCCTGCGGGCGGAAGCCATGGGCGAAGGCGTCTTCACCGTGCACTTCGGTGTCCCGGCCCCCTACTGCTGGATAGCGGGGCGGGCGCACTCGTCACCCGGGAACGCGTGCGGGTACTTGGTGTACCGCAGAAACACGCCCTCCAAAGCCTTCTACCGGTGCCATTCGAGGTCCTGCAGGTGAGGCACATCAGTATACCGCTTTTTAAGTCGCAGCACAGTCCGGTGCAAAGCGAAAAACACGAATGGGGTCAGCTGAGAGCGCAGGTTCTATTCAGTCGGTGGGGTATTCTCTCGTGATCGCTGGCCTCGTGAACGCATCGTCCTATCTCAGTCGAATCCTCTGACCTCCGGTGTCGTTCCATCTCGTAGCGGAGTGGCGGTCGACGGGAGCGGCAGGCGTCTGCAACGAGTCCTGCAGCTGGATGCGGAGTGCATCGAATCCTGGACCAGCGACTACGAGATTGTTGGCCGTATGCGAGGGTACCCCATCCCTAACCTCCGGCGCGACGCGGAGCCTCAGACGACTCTGGTGATGGCCAACATGGGCGCCGGGAAGTCCAAGGAGCTCTTCCACGGGCTCTTGCCTCGCTTACCCTCGGAAGCCTCCGTCTGTCTGATCGCGCCGAACATCGCGTTGGCCAGGAAGTACCACGAGGAGACCAGGAAGGAGGGTCTGGACTACGTCTGCTACCTGGACGAGAACGGGGGCAAGATTACCGCGCGGCGGGTGGTGGTCTGCATCAACTCGATAGCCAGGGTGCTGCCGCGTTTCGATGTGGTGGTCATGGACGAGGTTAACTTCACCCTGACCAACATGGCCTCCACCGTCATGAAGGACAAGAAGCTAGTCTTCTTGGCTCTGGAGGGAATAGTGGCGGGGGCGAAGGCGGCGTTCCTGAGCGACGCCCATCTGAACTGCCCCCGTGTGGTGGAGTGGATCCAGACCTTGCGGCACGCGAGCCGCTTCTATACCATCCGCAACCGTGGCGTCTGGCCTTCGAAGCGGAAGGCATTCATCTCGCCGATGCCCGGACCGCTCGTGGGCAGAGGGCAGCCCAAGGCGACGTTCTCTCTGGTGGTGGAGGGTATCCTGGACCTCGTCGCATCCGGAAAGACCGTCATGGTAAGTGCACTCCGCCTTCTTCCGAGACGGAGCACGTGCCCTCCGATTTATCTCCGTTCGAGATTCAGTGCGCCTCTGAAAAATGACACGGGAAAATTCCGCTTCAGGGTATTATGACACGTATATGTATCAGAGAACATATCTTTTCCCACCCGTGAATGTGCGAGTGTGACTTTTCACCATACCAGGCCCCCCTTATTACGCCCAGGAACAGAACCACCCCTTAAGAGCGACATGGTTGTTTTGTGCCCCCTTTGCCCCGGCATACCGTTCGAAAATCTGTGCACCTCTCGTGCAACGACACGGGAAAATTTCGATGATTTTGTTCCCGCCTGTAAACTTGCGAGTGTGATGTTTCCGGCCTTCTGTCCCCCCTCCATTCCGCCCGGGATCTGAACCCACCTCCTGATTCGACAGGGTTGGTTTTATCGTCTCCTTCTTCGCCTCATACCGCCCCGAATCCAGGGTACCTCTGAAAACGACATGGGGAAATTTCGCTTCCGATAGTATTGTAAAATGTATATACATTAGAGAA